CCCCCTCCCTCAGGAATGCAGCCAGCTCCAGTTCCCTAAAGAGACAGGCTGAGGGTGTGGTCCCCTGTGTGCTGGGCCCATCCTAATTGAATGGTCACAGCACAGAGATTTAAATCACAGTGTCACAGGGCAGAGATTTTTGGGGAGAAACCAAGGTGGCTTTCTGCCACACTCCCTCCCTGTGTCACCATCTGTTAAATTACTTAGAGGCATCAAGCTCATCTTGACCTACATCTGGACCCGGTGGTAATAAGGCAAACAGCAGAAGTAGCAGTGATGGGGCAAGTGGTGCTGGGGTAAGCAGCAAAGGCATCAGGCTGAATGGCGGCAGGGCAAGCAGTGCTGTATCAGTGCAGCCCTTGCTAGCCCCCTGTCACCAACAGCGTTGCACCCTCTAGGTCATTCTGCCTCAGAATTCCCTGGCCCACCAGGAGCCCCAGGGGCTGGGGGACTGGTTCCATGGCCCAAATCCAGCCCACAGGCCACATGTTTGAGGTCCCTGACTTGGATAAGATTATGTTTTGAATAACATGATGTTTAGTGGCTGACCATTTATGTATGCAGTTTTATGTGTAGAGTTGTATTTATGTGCACAAATGAATAAGATCCATATAATGTGTTTCCCAATGTGATTTCCAGGTCCTAGGATGGTAGAATTCCATGGTCAACAATTTCAGATCAACTCCAAGGATGACAAGCCACTTTTTACAGTGGATGAAGATGAAGTTGTAATCGGTACAGATAAACTTCGAGTCACAGGTTTGTAATATGTTAAAAAATGTCCTAATAAGAAATATAAGTAGGAAAGCCTCACACAATTCAGCTACAATTATATTTACACTATATCAGTGTATGTAAATAGAAGTTCTTAAGTTCACTGCTATAGGTGGCAACATTTGCGAGTGTGAAGTTTGTATCATTTATCTCATATGTACTTATACATGGTGAACTAAGACTAAAAGAATATTGCACGTTATTGCCTCTAAGTAAAAATTCTAGAAGTCATGCTGTACAGCATTGATGTGTACACCTTTTCAAAGTGAAAATCTGCTGTTTTTCTACTTTGCCTTTGGTACTTGGACCATAGCATATAATTATTTGTAGTTAATTTATAATATCACTTTTCACAAGCCATTTTTCTCAGAATTTATCGGGTTATATTTCAGTTCCAATCTTCAGAACAGTAATTAATGTTTTCTCAGAGGCATGTATCACTATTTCATTGCAAACAAGTACTCATATGATTTGTAGGAACAAGATAATTCAATTTTCTAGGTTAACAGTTATCTTAAAACATATATGATAAGCTTCAGTTACTCTAGTATTAAAATGTAAGAATACATCAAAGGAAATAGTGAAATTACCATAAAATTTATTTTCGCTTTCAGTTCTGTTTTTGAAGCTAATTATAATTGTCATATATAAGTTGTGTGATTTATTAGCGCTCTAAAACATTGATGTCTTCATTTTAATTGATCAATTCAAATTATTTCACTGTGCAAACTTATAACAGTGGTTGTAAGTATACAACTAGCACCTCAAAGCCAAATTTAATTTGAAATAAATATGTTAATAAATTACGTTTAAAACCCTGGGGGTTTTATTGTGAAGTTTATAACCAGGAAACCATATCAAATTATTATTGTATGCCCAAAGGACACCAAACATTAATAGAAAGGCATATTTAGCAAAGATATGAAATATTACATCATCACAAACTGATTTGGAAGAGGTCTGCCTATGTTTAAGTAAGACAGACTAAGACAGAATACATGCTTCAACACGGGGGGGGGTGTATTCTCCTTCTAGTTCTCTCAGTTTGTGAAGGAAACTACCATATTTACTCTAATACAAGAGTATACGTTTTCCCCTAAAATCAGTCTGTATACATTTCTCCCTATATGTTTTCCCCCCAAATTGGGTTGCATGTCTTTAACAAGGAAGCTATTTTTTCTGTGCTAGAAAAGAAGCAAGCGATTAGATGCTGTACGTTAAGAAGCCAGGATGGCTCCTGCCTGTGTCTGGTTTAGCAAGCAAAAGTACTAGAGTCTTGTGTTTACCCTCTCGCAACTATAGCTATTGGCTGAGCACTATAGCTTATGCCTGAAACAGCAAGCGTGCTTCCGGTAGTATTTTGATGAGGCTTGTGGTATGAAAACACTTGATTTATAGGAATTTATATAAAGAACTGCTTACAAAAGAAGTAAGTCTTGCTACTGCCCTTGCAAGGGTCTGGAGCTCAACCTTCTATGACATAGAAGAAATCCTCCTAGGAACATAGAACATCCAGGAAATATGCCATCCCAGGGGACTGTCTGGGTGAGGCATCAGAAACTTTACCAGGAAGTTCACCCAGACACTCTTTGGGTGAACTTCACCAAGACTGTTTCTACCTTTCTTGAATACTGTGTGCTTGCAAGAGGACTTACTCTGTGTCACATAATTGGCCATGATTCTAGAATTTTTTTTCAAATACTCCCAAAACCTAGATGCATGTTTTATTTGGAGGTATGTGGTATGCGAAAAAATATGGTATGTGGTTTAGAGGGTGTGGTATAGACATAGAAGTCCTGATTTAGCATTTAAATAATGCAACCCCATTAAAATCAAATGAGTCATTCCACCATAAAATTAGTGAAAGGAGACTTGCACTCACCATGAAAATGTAATATAATTGACTTTAAGCTTTTAATTTAAATTTTGCTAAAATACAGAAGTTAGGAAAAAGGCATAAAATGTATAATAGCTAGGACACTGATGAAAAGCAGGGCTGTTCAACTTCATGGTGGCCACATACTAGGGGGCTGCACACCATGCAGGCAGCAATGCTCTCCTCCCCACCACCCACCACACACAGCACAGGCAGCCTGGTTCCCCACCTGCCACATGTACAGTCTCACCCCATTCCTGGCCAGGTGTGTCACATGGGCAGCTCCCCTCTCTGTTGCCCTGGGCAGCATGGGCAACCCAGCTCCCTTTCGCACACATGCAGCACAGGCATGCTGGCTTTCATGCTTTGAACCTCACATGGGTAGCTCCTTCCTCTGTCACCATGCACATCACCAGCAGGCCAGCTTCCTTCCACTGTGCATGCAGCTTAAGTAGCCCAAACCAATTCCCTGCTCTGTGTGCAGCATAGAGACTCTGACCCCTTCCCTCTTCATTGCCCTGCCCCAGGAATGGGGCAGGGAGTTATGGGGTGTGGAATAAGAGGGACATGAAGGAGTTTCATGCTTAAGAATACACTAAAAAATATTTCATAATACTTTATGTACAATATAGTGGTCTGTCCAAGCTGATTTACATAAATTATTAACTTCTCATTAACTTATTTGAAAAGTTGATAGACGTACAGATAAAAAGCAGTGTGGTGGAAAAGAAATCCATTTGTGAATTTTAGTGAATATCTATTTTATAAATCTAGCCAAAGAATTAACTGAGTAAACTTGGCTTTAGAATCCCCTTTTCTCATCAAGCTTGGGACTTTGTTGTTTGACCTAATATTGTTGTGGTTAGCATGCCAGAAACACTTGTGATTATCAAAATATAACGATAAGGTCCACCCCAAGTTTTACTCTGCAGAGGGGAGCCTGCCCTCAAAGAAAACCATGGTGAGCTTCTGTCAAGTAGGATGCCTGCTTCTACAAAAAGAATCTACTCTCTTCAAGAGCCTGTCAGTTAAAGCTGATTGAGTTTTTAGTGATCCCAAGCATATGCACTCTGGGCCTAATTCACTGTTGTGAAGCATGTTGTACTGTCAGAACCAGTTGTGTCAAATTAGGTACCTAACCAGGATTTAGGAGGACTTAGATGTCTAAACTGCAAACAGCTATTCAGAATATTCCTATCCCAACAGGCACAAAATTCCTTCAATGCCTAAATTTTGAACTGCAAAGATCAGTAGGCTCCTAAAATTAGACTTGATGTAAAAATTTCTCATGATGCATTATCTACTACAGCCTTTGGCAAATTGTTTCAATGGCTAATTATCCTAATTATGAAAAAACTGAGCTTTTATTTTGAGACTGAATTTGTCTATCTTTAGCTTCCTGCCATTGGTTTTCAGCCATTAGATTTTGATAGATATTTGTCTTCTAGATCAAAGAGCTCTTTATTACCAAATTTTTGTTTTTCCTGTATATTGTTATAGAACTATGATCAAGTGACCCATTAACCTTTTCTTTCATAAGCTAAACTGATTTAACTCCTTGAGTTTTTGACTATGAGGCGCGTTTTTAATTCATTCCAATGGTTTGTCTCTAAACCTTCTCAATTTCATCAGCATCTTTTTTGAATTGTCAATACCAAACTGAACACAGTATTCCAGAAGCAGTCCACTGCCAAAGGCAGAATTGATATGACCTCTTTACTTGTAGTAGACATTCCCTGTTGTTTATTCATCCCAAGGATCAGATTAGCCTTTATGGCCACAGCATTATATTGGGAGCTTATGTTCTGTTTATTATCTGCCATGACCCTTAAGTCTTTTTTAAAGTGATTGCTTCCAGGGATAGTGTCGTCCAGCATTCTCTATCCTGTAAGTGTGGTCTGCATTCTTTGTTTCTAGATAGGTGTCTTGACATTTGGCCAAATTAAAGTGCATATTGCTTGCTTACACTTCTATTACCCACAGTCCTGATCACTCTGTATCAGTGATCTGTCCTTTTCATTAATTACCTCCCCCTCAATCTTTGTGTCATCTGCAAATTTCATCAGTAATTTATCTTTACTTCTTCTATGTCCTTGATAAAAATATTAAATAGTGTAGGGCCTATGGGACTCTCTAGAAATACGCTCCTTTGAGTCCTTCTTTGCAATTCCTTTTTGAGACCTATTAGTCAATGTTTAATCCATTTAATGAATGCAGTGAGATTTTGCATCATATTGGTTCCTTAATCAGAAAGTTATGTGGTACCAAGATAAGTGCCTTACAGAAGTCTGTTAAATTAGCAGTATTATTGTTTATCAACTAAACACATCATCTCATCTAAAAATGTCAGGGATCTATAACTATTTAATATTAATGGAGCTTCCAAGGGAATAATATACAAAAAATGTTATAGAGTAGATGAGGTTGTGTACAATTCATGTGTTTAAAAGCCTTAATACTGTATTTTGTTTTTGTCATCCAAGTCCAGTTTCCTGGATTTCAACTGTGTGTTAAACTAAAGTTTTTAATTAAACAGTTTCTGTAAAAATAAGCTATAGATACTTGTAACCTGACCTCCAACTTTAATCAGTCTGGAAGATTTTTACTCTGAAAAGACCAATAGCATCTATGATAACAGGTGATAGCAGTAGCTATTATAATTTTTTTGTAATGGTAGTTGAGATTTTAGATGATAGTGAAATGTCTAATAGCATAGTTTTTTCAGAGCCTGGGTAGCTTTATGAAATAGGTTCTGAAGAATAAGTTGCTGCAGGCTGTTATGACTTGTGACCATTTCTTTTGATGTTGTTACCACTGACAAGATAATAAATAATAAGATAATATCTTATTTTCCCATGTTAGGCCTCACAGATCTTTTTCTTGAGTTTTTATTTTCTTTGTGTAACACCTGATCCAGAATATGTGTAGGTAAAATATGAATGTTAAATACGCCATTGCATGATTTTGTGATACATCCAATAATTTTATCTTGGCAAAATATCGGCAGAATTAATAAGCGGTTCACTTTCCAAGTTTTCCAAAAATAGGAATGGCTTGGCTTTCTAGAAGTTTAGTGTGAAAACAATCCATAGCATTTCTACATGAACAT